GAGACATATAATTTCAAGAGACTTTGTTACGTTCCCAAAAAAGCCATTATTTAGAATGAATGTGTGTGGTATTTTTAGTCCATGTATAGATGGGTTTAATGTTTTCCCAGGCCATAGAAAAGTCCCTTGAATTCATTGGTGGTGAAGTTGTCTTTTTTTATTATCACGTTTTGGAGGAAATGTAGGAAGTTTTGTTGTACAAAGGAAAAGCAAATACTTTTTATGTTTAATAAGTCAAATATTTCTATTGTGAAAAAGGCCAGAGTTTCATTAATACAGGTACTGCTTCTATTCATATTCAAATTCCGATATGAAAAACAATCATTACCACTGAACTCTTTAAAAAAAAAAAGCACATATAGTTATGTTTAAACAAAAGACTGCAGTCATAAATCCCATATTTAACCATGTAACTACTAAGTTTAAAGATATTCGTAGAGATTTTTCTCACCAAAACATATGTAATATAGAATAATGTCTTTTAAAAAAAAGTATTCTTGGATTTCTGCAAATTCTATATCTAAGCCTCAATTCATATAATAAATGAAAGATATCATTACCTATCTAGTGTTTTCAACATCCTGTTTCCAAATTTTACAATAATTAGTATTTCCTATCTTTCCTGATAATAGCTTTTTACACAAAAAGTCTTGTTATCCACACAGCTGTTTTCTTGGCTGCCTTTTAGATGTCTGTCATCTAAGGTTGCTTCCCTCAGTGTAAAAGTAAAGTTGCTTCCGTCAGTTGTGCATCAGAAAGATGCACAACCAAGTTAACTGATCTTCATGTTCAGTCAACTCCCACTTCTGCTTTAGAAAGTACCTGTGTACAATAATTTTATCCAGAAAGGATTTCAGTTTTATTTTTCATGATACCAAAGGAAGTAATAATTTTAAGGGTTTAAATATCTGTATCAACACATAGCAGGTAGTTTGGGTCACCTTGGACTTTTCATACTATGTTTTGAGATGTAGAAGTGAAACCATCTACCAGAGTTTTAGTGGGGATTTATTTTAGTTTATTTGATTTGGTCATTTTTAATCAATCAATAGGCAAAGATGAAAGAATTTTATTAAGGGAAGTTGAAAAGAGACATTTGTTCATTGTCTGAGTGTCTGAACAGGCAAACTGTCACATTAATGGTTAATGCAAACTCTTTTGAAATGAAGCATAGAATAAGATTGCTTTTGTATACATTACTTGAGTATATGAACCATGTCATATATTAGGTTCATATTTAACAAAAACATGGAATTTTGATTCAGTAGACAACTGTTGTGCTTAATTTTCCTTTTATTTTCCTGATGCTATATTGTTTTGCAATTAGAATTACAGTTTCCTGATGCAGTCTCATTTAGAAATCTTGACATAATTGAAAAAGAAATGGGGAAAAGGAGGAACAAACCAATTCTTGACTTATTTTTTTGTAAGACTGTAATATGGCTCCTTATAAGGCTCAAGGTGAGCACACCTTATGATCTGTTTARAGCAGGGTCAAAAGATCTTTCCTTTACAATGTTAAATTTTAGAGCTTGGAAGAATCATGTGCTTAATAGTTGCTATTTTAACAGCCATATTCCAGACATCATTGCCCAGTGCAAAATATTTCCTACACCAAGCATGTAACTTCGTAAAAATTAAGGAATGCTAAGCACTAATATGTTAGTTGCATCCTGGTATGCAGTGTTCTCTGGCATTTTCTGCTATTTTTACTCAACGAAATAAATATTCTCCATAATTCTGGACTAGGTTTCTGCATCAGGGTACAGCTTCAAAATGGTCGGCCCTTCAATTCTACTATAAGAGGCATATCAAGGGTCACGGTGCCTTGTTCTCTGATATAAAATTCTTAAGAGCTTCTTAAGACTTCTTTAAAACCATGCAGCTTTTTTTTTCCCAAGGCCTGAGCCTGGCAGAGAAAAGACACAGCTACATCAGTGGTGCTTATTGAAATAATCACTGCAGCTCAGTCATTGCACATCAGCTTTTTCTTCAGTAGCTTTTCTATCTTTTTAAGACTGTCAGCTGTAACATATATATGTGTGTGTATATATGTGTCTGTGTGTATATATATATACACACACACCACTTGGTAATTCTATTCTGCAGGAAATGATGGAAACATGATTTAGAATTTAAATCCCTTGTCTGAGAGAATAGTTTATACTGTGTGGCTTTGCCTTGATCCTCATTTGTAAGAGAAGATGGAAATAATATTTGTGGTACCCACAAGCTTATTAGATATTTTGATAGAAGTGAGAACTTCTTAGGCACCAAGTGTTGCAAGCCATAAATGAACAAATGAATAGTACATCTCGAACATCTTTATATCAGAAGTTAAAATCTGGGTAGAATGAATTTTCTTTGTCTTCTTTTTATGACATCACAAGAAAAAAGATAATAGTATTCATAGCTATATGAAAATCTAGAATTATGACTCTTTCAGACAGGCTTAGAATTGTGACATTTACTTGCACCTGCAAGATCAACTCGTAATTAAAAGATATGTAATTTTGGTCTTAAATGTTCTGTTTTGAAATTAATCCAAGATGCATGGCAGTGTTTGGTTTTTTTTTTTTTTTTTGTTTTCTAAAAACACTGTAGATCATTTGTTAAACATGGCCTAGAAATTACTAGAACATACCAGCTACAGTTTAAAATTACTTCAGAAATAGAACTTTATATTCTCAGATCATACTCATTCTTTGCAGCAATGCCATCATAAACACTGTGAGAATATCTTGTACAAACAAACATTAATTCTTGCAGAAATTTTTATACTGATGTGCAGAAATGAACATGGCAATTCTTGATTTGCTTAAGTAGTTCTTCTSTAATTTAAATGATAGAAGCTTTACAGATGTGAGAAAATCATAAAGTTAATTTCATTTTGTGAGTGTGAAAACCATCTATTCCATCTTGAGTTTACAGATGTGCAAATTGTATGCTTAGTTGTGAACAGATACACAAAATCATTAAACTGTTGTAAATCTGTTTTTTTATCTTTACTGTGTGGGTAAAAAGAGGGTGGAAAGAAAAAAGGCACCAAGTTTCTTAGAAACACTTGATTAAAACTTTCCTTGTATGATTTTTATTTATATTGAGATTGCAATTTTTGCTTGCAGGAGTTCTTGACAACAGTCGTTTCTAGACTTGAAGAATATTTTCAATCAATGCTGACATCTTAAATGAAAATAATTGCAGTAGCGTAAAACAGAATGTTTCTTCAACAAAAGCACCTTAATAGTGTCGTCAAAGACAAACTGTTGAAAATACGTTATATTTTGTCTCTTTTTATTCATCTTTTGAAATGTGATGCTGTAACAATGTTCTGGAAAAACAAGCAGTTATTCTGACTGCTAAGTATTATTTGAAGGAAATCCTGCCTGCAATTAAAGTGCAGTTTGCTCTTTTTGCTTTTCACTTAAAGAATTGCTTATATTATGCTACATTTCCTATTTGCCAAATACCTCTTCAGATCTTTACATGGATAGCAACTTAGCAGCAACTTACTTTGAAGTTGGTGAGAATTTCAAACTTTTACTTGCCTTGAAAGACTATGAAACCTTTTGCCAATTAAAAGTGCATAGGGAGGCAGAGGAAGGTCTTTCTCTCTCCTGCATCGGCTTCAGCTGCTTTTCTTTCTCCAGGCTCCCTACTCCTAGGGACCTTCTCGCATAGAGAGGAGATTAAATCATTTAATGAGATTTTGCTGGTGAGGGGAGGACAGTTTATCTCAAGGGGTTTACTACACTATCCCTGCTCATTCATTTAGCTAGTRCTTTCCTTGGTGTTTTGGCAGGGGACATTGGAAATACCTGCTTTTTGTGCTCTTAATTCCATTCCTGCTACTTGCAATAATAACAAAATGAAGACAAAAGAGGGATTTGAGAGATGTGTTYGCATGATGGTGCCCTCTGTGCTGATTCCTGGAATGATGCTGCTTTCRGGTTCCTCCAGCTCAAGGGATATTCTCACCTATGGTTTGGCAGTGTTAACTGGCACGAGGCACAGTCACAGCATTCCAAAACTGAAGTTTACATTAGATTTTTTTCTGAAAAAAAATCATGACTGTCGTGAGTTATCATTTTSAAAGTTCACAAATAAGCCATGAGTCAGAATGATTAGGTGTAATTAGTCACAATCAGAACTTAAATGTGCAAAGATCTATAAAAACAATTATTTGGATAGGCTAGGAATATAGTTAGATAATTCAATGCAATTCAAAGCAGAAAACTCTGTATATCTTTACTAGAATAATTATACATTCTGAACATTGAACAATTCAAGGACTTGGGATAGTGAACACTGAACAAGTCAAGGACTATTTACAGATATAAATTAAATATTAAGTGCGTTCTCTAACATGACTTTAAAAGTAATTATAAGTTCTATTCCATGCAATTGTGAGTGTGTGTATGCATCTTAAAATAATTTTAGTAAACAGTAGAACTAGTGCATATACTGGTGACATTTTAAAAATGTAATTAATTGGTTTTAATTTTTTCTTCCTTTGAAATAGTTTGTTTTGCTATGCAGCAATTTTATCCCATTCTCACTTTAATGTTATGCAATTAAATGATTTGAAATGTATTTGACCATATAATTGCTTTTGTCATTTTAAAAATCTTTTTCAATGTGCAACTACAATGGGCAAATGGTGATAGCTAGAATACACTGAAGAGATTATAGACGTTTTATATCAATATAGCTTAACATATTTTGAATGTTGTTCTTATTATATATATAATTTTATTATAATAAGCAATAATTTTATATAAATATTTCTATTAACTTTACTGCAATAGAAAGACTATGTTCTATTCATATTTTAACACAAAGACATAGAATATATTTACTTACCTCACTTTATGGTAAATGCAGGTGTGTACATGCTAGAATTAAACACAGTTGTGTTTGGTTATCTATACAGCCATTAAGCCCCCGTCTAAAAACARTTATAATAAAAACGTTATAATTTACTTTTATTTTCTTTGCAGATTGCCTTCTCACAGCACAATACTATCATGGATCTCGTGCAGTTCTTTGTCACCTTTTTCAGGTAAATTGCTTTTTCTGCCTTCTGAAAGAATCTATGCTAATTCTGTTCCATCTAAACAATATTTTCTCCAGCTCCTTAACCTTAAGATATCTCTGAAATGAAGTCTTTAAACTGTACTCACTAATTTGTACCGATAGATGATCTTTACTATAAGCAGTTCTTGGCTTTTGATATATTCAGTGACACAATCTTCCCTTCATTTACTGCACAAAGCTTAGTCAGATGTGTATGTTGTTTTACAGGCRTTAAGACAGCGATACTGATTTAAATTCTAGTAATATAATTTACGTATGAGATTTTTTAGTAAACTATTTTACGGAATTATTACCAATGATGTTTCTGTTCAATGGCTTATTAGCTTTTTCTAATAAAGCGTAAAAAAATCACTCCTAATATTTTCATRTGTTTCATGTGTTAGAGATGAATTGTGGGAAGCGGTAAGTAATTCATGATGAGATATCGTTGTGGCAGCAGTGCAGGAATCTTCTAGATCTCTTAGTGGACAACTATTCTAGTATCTCAACAAAATTTCTAGCTTAGCCTCAGCCCCAATGTGATTGTCCTACCAAGGCTTTCAACAGGCAGTCAGCTTGAAGAGGGGCTTGCAGCTGTCCGCAGTATAAATTTAAAATCAACCTTAGGAGTCCTGCTGCAGAAACGTGTAATGTCTACAAGYATAGACACATTTTTAAAGAAAATAAGAAATGCTGTGAGTCACACATTGTGCTAATCTCAGCACGGTACAGAAGACGGTGAAATTAGTGGCAGGGCATTCTTCAAAGAGGATGTAAATTCAGCTAGGTTTGACTCTTGTCTTTGGTTACAGTAACTAAAGACAATATTGATCAAAATATATTTTTAAATCTTTATGTAAGGTCCTATGGTCAACTTATATGAATGAATGGAATAAAAAAGTTGAAACATCATTCAGGAAATTCTTTGTTTTGGAGTGCAATGTGAGGCCTTTTTTTGTCTTCCAAAGCTGAGCATCACTTGGTAACCAGTTTAATCAGGAGTCTTTGGGATATTCACATACCAACAGCATAAACAAGTAGTAAACTTGAGAAATATCAAAAAATGTTGCCTGCTGGAGATTCTCTCAAATGTCTTTGAGCCATTTTCCGTGCTAAGATGTAAACAAAGTCTTTTATTTATGCACACGTGTGTGGGTGGAGTAAAACTCCGAGCAGGCAGCAGCCTCCTGTTTAGTGTAGTGATCTCTTAGAAGAGACACATTCCTGTTCTCTTTGGCTGGATTTCTGTCCCTATGTAAGTGTGGCTGTTCCCAGGTTATCAGACAATAGATGAAGAGGAAAAGCTGGTTTTGGTAACCAGGTCTCCATGAGGACTGAGCACTGCTCAGCACCTGCCTGTCCTGTGAGGGTGTTTTGAGTGGAACGAGCTGTCTGGTTGAGCACCTCAGGATTTTGGSAATACGTTCAGATGGTGATATACATAATATTGAAAATGACTTTTATATACATACGTATGTGTATATTTATATATACGCACACTAGAATGTCACGTTGTGTCTGTAGGTTTGGTGACCTTTTCTCTAAAAGTAGAAATACAGCTTTTTCAGAGTAGTAACAGATTTCTAGCAGTCTTAAAGAAACCGTGGTGTCTGCGTTGTTTTAGTGCAGGCTTTCTAAATGATGATCTAAATAGGCCTCACAAATGGAGAAGTGACTTTTCTTTCCTCTCCTTTGCAGCAGTAAAGATCTCACTAGAAAATTACACAAGCAGCAAATGTGAATGATCTTTCTTTTTATATGGAAGAAATTAAGTCCCCACAGTTATATGATGTCTATTCCTTCCTTATTTTAAGCTGTAAAACAGTAATTTCAAGCCTGACTTTTTTTCTACACTGTTTATAAATTTGTTTTCAGTGTTTGCAAATCTTGCATGAATGTATTGGTGTAGCTGAGCAGGTAGTCAAGACATTTCAGGTGTTTCATAGTCGTATGTGAAGTATCTTTATTTTCTAAAAATATTACTTATTTTTTCCTTACATCGTATTTTATCATGCATAAGAATTGACAGGCTTCAGTATTTTGTAGTTTCTATTGCTTGTGTTTTGCATGAGTAAATCTAGAACTGAGAGCCAAAAAACTCCTGAGTTCTAGTTCGGCTTCTGACATTTACTCAGGGCAGATTTCAGCAAACTTTTCAATCTATGATTTTTTTCACTTTTCATACCATTTGCATCAAGCACACATGAATACAAGGCATGGRTTAGAAGGCACACTGTTTTAGTTATAAACCAAACTCTAATTGTAATACAGTTTTAAGTATATTAGGCAAAGACAAWATTCATATATCAGATAGAAGAACAATATTTTTGCAGCACTTTGCTGTAAAAAGTGCTGAAAGTGTAAAGTGTTGTTAGGTGCTAATTATCATCCTTAGTATTTATAACTGATTTTAAATAGATGTGGTAATTGTGTTATWTTTTTTCTGTAACAAACCTGCTAAGATCTTTGAGACTATTTAAAAATAACTTTTTTTTAGTGTAAATAAAGTTATAGTTAGGAACTTACAACAGTGCTCATACATTTTTGAAACTTTTTTTTTTGTGTGTATTAGGAATCAGAAACAGGATTCTGGTAAGAAATATAGTTGTGTCTCCTATTCCTGCAGGCATGAAATTGCTGCTGGTGGCAAGGGTTAACTATTACCATTTTTCTGCTAGGTGATGGTATCCAATGCTACCTTGAAGTAACTCGGCAAAGCAAAGCCTTGAAGTAACCCGTCAGTTACTCTCAGCACACACCATCTTTTTGCTCTCAGAGATTCCTTCCTTGGTCACTTGTTAAATACTGTCTGAGAAGCTGACAAGGAGAGGTGTCTGTGATTGRTTAGCATGGTGCAACAAGCACATTTCTAAACATAATTTCTTTATTAGTGTTCTTTTGTTTGGGGAGAGTAGGTGTTGTTTTTTGTTAAAAATAAGTATGATAAGTTAATGCAAAATTTTAGCATGCTTAGCTTTATGAGATGGATTATTGATTACTGAAAGAAAAGACAACTTGCAGCCCTTCAAGATCAGACCATGTCCACCATGACTGGATTCAGAAAATACAGAGGTCTGATAAATTAAAATATTTACTGGTAAAATGAAAATTATCTTGACAAAATGGATTTTGCATTTTGGAATAGAAAAAAATGGATTTTTACTTAGTGAAGCACTGAACAGTTTTCATGTGACTTAAAAGCAGGTAGTTGTTTGAGTTCCATAGTATAAGTGTGTCTATAGTGCAGTGAGTGATTTGAGGATTTTGTCTTAAAAATGTTTTGAAGTATAGAATATAACTTTGAGTCTTCCTTTCTATGAATCATCAGATTTTTTTCATCTTTGTATAGATATTTGATTTATTCATTTTTTTTTTTTGAGGAGACAGCCACTTATTATTAGCCTACAGGCAAAGAAGATTCTTYAGCACCACTGGATTGGTTGCTTGTTCATAACATCATATGAGTCATTTAATCCCTTGGTAACTAGAACAATTTTCCATTATTTCCTTTGTATTCAACTTTTGAGTCATTTAGAAGTGCATTTGAGTGTTCTAGTACATGTCTAGTACACCCAAAGTACTCGGTGTATTTTGGGTTCAATGTATTGTGTTCCTCAAAATGCAAATTGCTTGCTCTCTGGAGGTGGTCTCTATATGTGTTTCTCATACAGCAGGTTTGGGCTTCCTTTTTAAGTAGATGCATTTAAAATTTTGCATATCTGACAGCATGTATGTCTGTATCTGGCTGTGAGAGCTGCTTATTCTACCTTATGAAATAATTAATCTCTTTTTTTTGCTAATTTGATAAAAATAAAAAAGAAAGTAGAATCAAAATAACTTATGTAGTTGGTTCAAATTTGGAGGGAATAAAGGAGAGTTTTAAAATTCTACCTTTTGGGAGTTTTTTTTCTTCTGAGGCTGAATGAGAGAACCTTAGGATGAAATACCCTCARAACTAGCAGATTTGGTACTCATGTTRGTCTCTAGTCAAATGAAGCGCAGAGGGCAGCTAAATTAAAGCTGCAGGTTGGTATTAAAGTAGATTTGTGTAGAATGAGAGGAGAGAGATACATGTGTATACCAAGTTGTAAGAACAGTTTGTATGTAGAGCTCTGTGTCATGTGATGTGTGTTCRTTAGCAGCATGATGCTTGAATTTAGTTGCAGTGCCATATCAGTGCTCAAATAAGGCTTGRCTGATAAGTAGAGCATATGAACAAATACACAAATACCACTTTTTTTTTCCCTGAAAAAGAAAAGAAGCTACTAATCTTAAATTCAGTTTTTAAATTCAGGGTTCAGTCTGCATGGTCCTGTAACCTAGCATTCCAAAAAGCTCTTTATCAGCTCTCTTGATTTTATGAAATCTTTTGAAAACAAAGCTACCATTTATTTAGTAGTGTTCCACCTAGAAGGCTCTCAAAGTGATGCTCAAAATAAATCTCAAGAATGCTAAAAAAAATAGTTTTTCCTTTAGAGATTTTAATGAATTTTATAGGCTCCTTTACCCTGAGACAGTTCCCTAGTATTCACCTGTCAGGGATGTGTCTTTTTAAAGCTTCTTTGTATTTTGTTTTATAAGAAGCCTCATAGATAATTCACATTGTATTTATGTTTTGATTCCCTACATTTTTTTTGTATTTTTTTTGTAATTTGCTAAATCCAATTAGCAAATTTTATTTTCAGACTAAAAACAATGCTGGAGCTCCAAGCTAGATAGCTTTAGTCTCTTAGAATGCTTTATTCTGGTCACTTGTTTTCCAAAATTCTAGTCGACTGTTCTTTAAATTAAACAAAAAAAGAAAAACCCACAAACTACAGCAAGTTTTTTCTTTGCTAAATGGACCTGAAGTTTTGCTTTTATGATTTAAATTTGAAAGAGAAGAAATTCTGCCTTTTCGTGATAGGTGCATGTGCCAGTTGCAAAGTTAACTGAAGAAGTTTGCTTCCAGGTATAAGTGTATAGTAAGCTGGAGCAAAAGCTAAT